AGATATCGCTTTTGGCGCGGCGGCTATCAACATTTGCACGTTATTGCTGCGCTCACGCGTGTCAACGTAACACCACAGCCAAATAAGATTCAAAACGGTTACACCTCTATCAGGTTGTTCATATGGAGCGTATTTCATAGGGTAACTCACTTTACACATTTTGAACAGAACGAACCTGGCGGTCGATACTCAGTAAAAAAAACAATAAAACAATGCTTCTCACGGTTGATTCCACGAAGGCACCAAAGACCCGCGAAGACATCAGCCTGCTTATACGCGCGCGGTGTGAGTAGAAGCGAACGCACGCGAAGTGCACGCAGCTGGTAGAGAGAGAGAGCGGAGAGAGTAACGCGCAGCTGTTGGAGAGAGAGAAGGAGGAGAGTTGCGCATGCGTAGTGTGAGTGCGGACTACGACGCCGCGGGACATAGACCCGAGCAAAAGATGCTCCGCATCTAAAAGGTAGCAACGGCGCATTTTCCTCTCTTCTACTGACGCGCCCCCAAGCGGACACGAGAAGAAGGGAGGAACGAGACGTTTTTCTCCTTCTCCAGGCAGACGGGAGAAAGCTTCCGCCCTCCCGCGTCATCTTCTTTTGGTTTAGTTTTTCGAGCACGCGTCGCGCACGTTGTTTAATAAATGTTTTTGAGTTGATTGAGCTTCAGCGGCAGGGAAGGCCGCCTGTAATTCCGTCTCCCAGTCCAAACGTGCAGAACATTTCGGTTTCATTGACGTTCTTACTGTTAATTTTATCAAACAAGCAAACGAAGCCGCTAGAAGCAGCGAAGTTCCGGAGCAGTGCCAGCAGCTCTACGTACACTGGGCTAAGATGGCCGTCTCCGGATTGCGAAACCCACACGGAACGATGTGGAACGATGTGTCAACGTTGACGACGTTATGGAAATCGCGGAAACTGCTTCCAAGACAGGCAGGTTTTGCTGCCGGGTGCCTGGGTTACTTCTGTGCTGAGTTCAGTTCTGTTTTCCAAAGCCGAGTGCCAGCCGGCAACCAACGTGGCTCTGTATTTCTGCGTTTCAGCAATATAGCAGCAACATCGCAATGGCAGTGCTGTGCGTTGTAAACAGAAAACTGGAATTATCGCCGATATGACCGTGTGTTCGCATATCAGTGGTGTAACAGCAAGCTGAGATGACGTAACCTGACTGGCATTGATGCCGCCGGCCGGGCCGTGATCAGGGGGGGGGGGGGGGGGTCGCAGGTTCGTATTCCGACTCACATTAAAAGAGCTTAAGACCGCTTGAGCGATTACGATGCAATCGATCCACCTGAGAAAAGTCATGTTGGAACGCTGGCCAACCGTAGCTCCTATCGTACAGTGGCAGCGTGCCTGTCGTCTGCGATGTCCTGTTGTCTCCAACCTGAAAGAGATTGCGCTCTGGGGAAAGGACTGAACAGTATGGAAATATGACGAAAGTATGCATATTTACAGTTTGGAATTTTACCATTAAGAATGGATAATAGGTCAAATGGAAAAAAAATCTATTCTCTATTTTGCTGTATAAATAATTAAATATATTACGGTTCTTTGAAAAAGTGCCCTCCAAGGGGCGCGCTGGGATGAGCGCTAGAAGTTTTCGAGCTCGCCACGGCGTAGCTCCGTACACTTAACATCTGCCGCAAGTCGTGGTTTGACTGCATTCAAGTTGATCGAAAAGCGATTTCTCTGACCGTCAAGCTTTGCTTCCACCTGAGTGAATACCCCCCCCCCCCCCCTCTACACGGATTGATTCAAAACCACAATTGCAGCCACATGTTAAACATAACAGCATCTCGCGACTGGAAGAAAAGACCTGCGAGGAAAAGGAGGATCTCGTGCCATCCGAGGCCCGGGCATGCACAATTTTGTTTCTCTGGACTGATCGTGCAACCATTATGACGAGCCGCTCAGATTAAATCGCTTGTAATATCAGAGGCTGTTGGAGGAAGTTTTTACAGGAACTTGATGGTGCCGAAACCCGGGAAGGCTACTTCAAGGCTACAGAAAGCCAACCGAGACCTCAAGGAGCTTCTGAAGGCAGCCACATGGAGCGAGTACGGACCAAGCGAACCTCTCGTCGGGCCCAGACCACTCAGCTCATCGACGAGGTCAGGGCAACTCTTGCAAATGACGATCACGATCTTAGTTCACTCACAACACTTCTTGAGAGATTAACGGCAAATATCGAAGAGCTGAAAATCTTAGATCGAGAGTTCGAATCTTTCGTAAGCGACGAACACCTTGAGCAAGAGTATGAAGCGGTAATGACCTACCAAGACAACTCAACGCTGGCATTTGCAATGCTGAGTCATCGAATTGAGATTCTGAAGAATCCAGAAACCCATGTAGTAGAAGTAAACAGAACACCGGCGATTCTTCCGACTACCACCGAGAACGCCAGAGCAAGACTTCCGAAATTGGAGATGTTGAAATTTGACGACAGCACTTCTCAGTGGCAAGCGTTCTGGGATATGTTCCAAAACACGATCGACCAGCATCCTCAACTGTGTCAGGCTGACAAGTTTTACTACCTCCGGTCCCTTTTCACCGGACCCGCAGTTAGAGCCATCGCTGGCCTTCATGGGCCTAACTCCAGCTACACAGACGCGTTGGCTATACTCCGAGCGCGATTTGGAGACAAGAAACTCATCGAGCCAGACCATCTTTCAAAACTTCGAACGCTCCAGAAGGTTCCATCATCAAACGACGTTGGTGCCTTAAGAACACTTCTCGACGCCGTTCAGCTACACATTCGTGGCTTAAAAGGTCTCGGAGTTCACGCTATGTCCAACTCTGCAATGCTGAACAAGATACTAATGAAGGTTCTACCAACCGACGTCGTCATCGAATATCGACGAAAATCCTTCAGCGGAGCTACAAAGCCACTGACGTCAGAAGGAGATCTGGAGATGACTTTAAAATTTCTTCAGATTGAAGTGGAATGTCGAGAACGAAGTGGACTGACAACAGGGAGGACAAGTCAAGACAGTCGACCTGACACTAGGAAGTACGATTCCAGAAGAGAAGGTACAAGAAGCTTCGCAGCTGTTCTACACAGTCGGGCGAAAGAGTCAGCAGACTGCCTTTTCTGCTCTTCCAGGAAACACTCGTCGGAAGATTGCAACGCGGATGCAACGATAGATGCGAAAAAGAAGAAACTCTCCGACGACATGAGATGTTTTAAATGTACCATGAAGGGGCACAGAGCGCGAGATTGCAGAAGGAGAATCGCCTGCAATACTTGCAAAGGCAGACATGCTACATCGATGTGCGACCCACGCTGGCAACGAACTAAGGAGACGGAACAAAACAGCAAAACGAAGGCACTCCATACTTACGCTCCACCAACAACACAAAAGGAGCCCCATATCCTACTTCAAACGTTTCGGGGCTGGATCGCTGGCAAAAGTGGGTACAGATACATAAGAGGAATGATAGACGGAGGAAGCCAGCGAACTTTCATCCGAGAAGATGTGTTCAAAAAGTACCAACTGCGTATTCTCGGCGACATAAATATATGCATCAACACCTTTGGATCCGAAGCTGCAAAAGAACAAAGACGAAAGCTTCTGGAGGTTAGACTAAAGAGCCAGTACCACCAAGGGGAGTACATCTTCGAAGCGGTATAAGTCCCGAAGATTTGCAGCCAAATGATGGAGCTTCCTTTGGACCACCCTTTCATAGGAGAGCTTCAAAGTCAAGGAAAGGATTGGGCTGACCTTTGCCTTTTCGATGACACAAAAGGGGCACTCAGAATCAGCCTATTAATCGGTGCTAACCAAGTATGGTAAATCATGAAGGGTGACAACATCCGCAGCGACTTGGTTGGACGGTGCAAGGACCAACGGACGAAAATTATTAATTGACAACACAAAACCATGTCATGGCCTGTATTCTTAATGCAGGAGTCACCACCGAAGACGAAACGAACAAATTGCCAGCGTTTTGGGACCTGGAACATCTTGGAATCACAGACAATGAAGATAGGTCCCAGGAAACGGTGTTACCGACATTTGAAGAGTTGATTTGTTGGACTGAAGGCAGGTATGAAGTCTCACTACCCTGGAAGCCCAACAAAAGAACCGAGCTTCAGGACAACAAAGAGCTGGCGACAGCAAGGTTAAACGGGTTGATGCGAAAACTCCGGAGAGATGAAAACCTGCTGATCACTTACGACAGTGTGATCCGTCAATATTTGAAAGATGAACATGCAGAGGTGGTTCCAGATGCGAAGAAAAATACAGGACGGCAGTACTACATGCCGCACCATGCGGTAGTACGCGAGGAGGCGCTCACAACGAAGATTAGAATCGTATTTGACGCCTCATCTCACCAGCCAGGAAGGGAGAGTCTCAACGGATTTCTTGAAACGGAACCAAAGGCATCTGACGACCTATTACAGGTTCTCCTGAGGTTCCGAGTCAATAAAATAGCGATGACAGCAGATGTTCAGAAGGCATTTCTGCAAATATCAGTAAAAGAAAGAGACCGAGACGCGCTATGCTTCTTGTGGTTTGAAGAGAGGCCCACAACAACCGGTCAGTTACCACCGATACAGGAGTGGAGGATGACCCGCGTTCCGTTTGGGACGGCATCCAGTCTGTTCTTGCTGACAGCTATCCTACAGCATCATTTCCGAACAGTTCAAAACCACCCGGAGCCAGCTCAGGCTCCAGCGAAATCGCTCTATGTCGACGATTTATTGACTGGCGCCCAGAGTGAAGCAGCAGCAGTCAAGTTGTTTAACGAAACACAAGACATCTTGCAACAAGCTGGCACGAATCTTCAAAAATGGGCATCCAACAGCAAGACACTGCAAAGATTGTTCCAAAAGGGAGTCCCTTAACCAACTGATAGGGCGACGGTCACCAAGGTGCTTGGAATGTATTGGAATACAGAGGAGGACACTTCGAAGTTGTCGTTGACCTCGACGTTGAACTTCTTGAAAACAAAATTAAGTACAAAGCGATATGTCCTTCAAGCTGCCAATAGAATCTACGAATCATGGGACTGCTATCACCTTTCACCATCCGGGTCAAGATTATGTTCCAAAAACTGTGGGAATTAAAGATAGACTGGGACAATAGTCTTCCTGGCAACATACAACAAGAGTGGAACACGTGGTGGAACGAGATTCCACAGCTACAAGTCATATCGATATCTCGATTCTTGTTCGAGGAACTCCGAGACACTACGCTGTTTTACGAACTACATGTCTTCACTGACGCCAGTCCGAAGGCTTACGGCGCAGTTGTCCACCTAAAAACATCTGACTCTGAGAACACAGGAGAAATACATCTACTACTTGCAAAGGCGCGAGTAGCACCTCTTAAAAAGCTGACACTCCCTCGCCTAGAGCTGATGGGAGCTCTCATCGGTTATAGATTACTGCGCTATGTAGAAAAGACGTTGTCTCTTCAAGACCACGAAGTATACTTGTGGACAGACTCTACCATAACGTGGAAGTGGATACAAGGTCAAACTCACCGATGGGAGACATTTGTTGCTAATAGAGTGAGGAAAATCCAAAACAACATGCCTACAGCTCGCTGGAGATACTGCCCGGGTAAAGAAAACCCGGCAGATTGCCTAACAAGAGGACTCTCCGCGTCAAACCTAGAGTCAAACAACTTGTGGTGGACTGGTCCTTCTTGGCTCAAGAAACCGTCACCAGAATGGCCACAGGCGCAACCCGAACGAGACGACCTAGACGACATGGAAGACAACGACATCAAAACCAATGTACTGCAAGTAACAACTGCCGTAGACGATCCTGTACTTGACTTGCAGCGCTACAGCGAGCTCTCAAGGGTCCTACGCGTCACTGCTTGGATTTAACGTTTCAAAGAAAACACTGACGCATTGAAGGAATTGTCTAACTACCTTTCAACGGCAGAACTCAAAAGGGCGGAACAATACTTGATAAAGGTCACACAAAAAAATGAATTCTCGGGAGAACTTAAGAGCATACGAAATAGAAGGCCGCTGAACAAGTCATCGAAGCTAAAAGATTTGACACCTTTCATAGATGACATCGGATTTTTACACGTAGGCGGTCGTCTCCAACAACTAAACGCATCAGAAGACCTCAAACACCCCATCATACTCCCCAACGCACATCGCTTCACCGAGTTACTTATATGGAGCGCACATCAGCGGGTGCTTCACGGAGGAGTAGCAGACACTTCAACTGAATTGCGCGAACAGTATTGGATTGTACACGGAAGACAAGCCGTAAAAAAGTATCTGCGAAACTTCACCAGGTGTGCAAGGACACACTTGAGGGCCGCATCAGCTCTTATGGCACCACTGCCAAAAGAACGCATTGAGGCGACGCACCCATTCAACGTCGTGGGTACTGATTTTGCTGGTCCACTTTACACAAAGGAACAAAAGAACGCGAAGTCATATATCGCCATCTTCACATGCGCGGTCACACGAGCAGTTCACCTCGAGCTCACAACGAGCACATCTGCTCAATCCTTCTTGATGGCTCCACGTCGGTTCGTTTCCAGAAGAGGACTGCCAGACCTACTTTATTCAGACAACGCTTTGGCGTTTAAGACAATTGCAAGAGACATATCAGCTGTCTGGGAACTGCTCCGACATAAGGATGTACAAGACTATGTCGCCCACCATCACATCACCTGTAAATTTAGCGCCGAAAGAGCCGCATGGTGGGGAGGTTTCTGGGAGAGAATGATACGGACAGTGAAGACTTCCCTCAGGAAGGTTCTAGCACGAAGTTATCTTAATTTTGAAGAGTTATCGACGGTGTTACAGGGAGTAGAAGCCGCCGTGAACTCGCGTCCTTTAACATTTCTTTACTCAGATCAACGGGAACCAACAATTTTAACACCTGCACATTTCCTAGTAGGAAAACGCCTTCTGTCGTTGCCGACAATGAAGCAAATGAGCTCCAACCCGCATACATCGCGTGAACTAAGATGGCGATGGAGCTACCGAGAATTAATCTCACAGCAGTTTTGGAAGAGGTGGATGAAGGAGTATCTTTTGCAGCTTCGCTCTGCCCACCACACTCCGCCCAAGAACACAACGCCTATTGCTGTCAGGGACGTCGTAATTATTCACGATGCGAGACGACCAAGAGCAACGTGGAAGGTGGGACGAATAACAGAAGTGCACCCTGGACGAGACAATATCATTCGCTCGTGTGAAGTCCGACTGCCGGACAGACGAACGTTTAGGAGACCAGTCCAACTTCTTTACCCACTGGAGGTCTGCAACACGTCCGCGGTGGGAGCCTGTTAAACATAACAGCATCTCGCGACTGGAAGAAAAGACCTGCGAGGAAAAGGAGGATCTCGTGCCATCAGAGGCCAGGCATTGTGCGTGCATCAGAGGCACGCACAATTTTTTTTCTCTGGACTAATCGTGCAACCGCTATGACGAGCTGCTCAGATTAAATCGCTTGTAATATCAGAGGCTGTTGGAGGAAGTTTTTACGCCACACGCAAACAGCACAAAAAAAAAAAAGAACCATTGCATTAGAAATACTGGCTACGACGTGCCGTACAGGGAAGCAAACACGTGGCTTGGAACCGCATTGGAGCGGCTTGACTTATAGGCTTTAAATAATTACGGCATGAGCGTTCACTTTTTACTAAGAGACTCCTCCCCTGAGCCGTTCAAAATACTCTCAGAGGTATATATGACAATGCTGGAAAAGAGATCAACATGCTGGGAATATTTTTATTGCTAAGGTGGCCACCGAGATAATCCGTACCTTCAAAATGACCAGTATAAAAGCGGAAACGCAGAGCCAGTGATCGGGTTAGCGTGCTGTTGCATTGATGTTTGTATGTGTTTGTATGTGCCGTGTATATTTAGCTGATGCTAGTGGTATGTGCAATGTATCTGCATGTGTGTATAATAAAGGTTCCCGGAGGCCTTGAATCGCAATGGTGGCGTGAGCAGATAAAGGCAACTTTTTTGTCGAACATGAATTGGGCGGTATCTAGCGCCACCTAGCCTAGCTACTTGCAATTACTCTGCTTGACCCTGCCATCTGTTGGCAAGCGATTTAGACTTCTTTCACGCGTCGCAATGATTTCTGGTTACCGTGCAACAGCTGCTTCGCATTTGCTCTTTTGAGAGCGGCTTTTGGTTTCGTGAATGGTTTACCACTCCTCTGTGATGTGCGGTTGACGAAGGAATTGTGGCTTGAGGAATACCAACGGTAAGACGTAAAGAGCGCGAAGTAACTGGGCATCGGTTGTCTTCGTTTAACATCGCAGTGCTGACGGCGAGAAGACTAACTGCTTTTGAAACGCGTCTCTTTACCTGCGGGGGGAAGCCGACTTTGGAAATAAATACAGTTCCCGGAAAGCTCGTGTAACGCTTTTATTTTCTGATTTCTCGCCGCCTAAAATAGACATAGCGTCGCCTTATTGAGCTTGATTTGCTCGATTCGGGACCGTCATAATGAGATGCAGGCGATGGAGGAACTTTGCTACCCTGCCTTAAGGACGAAAGTTTCTCCCTTTCTATAAGAATACAGGTTACAAAAACGTTCCTCTCTTTAGGGAGGGCTATAGATACCACATTTTCTAAGAGTGTACACGTGTGTCAACTACCGTTCGCTCAGCGGCGCTACTGTGTAAAATATTTTAAATTTATTATATTTTTTCTTGGTGCATAATTACTTCAGCTGCAAATTGCGATGTTTTAAAAGTGTTTAAGATCCCCCCCCCCCCCCTATTATGTTCAAATAACTTTCATGGTTTACGTCACATGCATCACGTGATTTATGCAAAGGATTTATGGCGCCGGCCGAGCGTCCATGGGTCTCAATGGTCCCGCGTGGTCGCACGCAGCCACTTTCTACCGCAACGGACCACTTCCTGAGCAGCGGAATTACTCATGAACGCATGCACTTGCTCGTCGTGAGTTTCCGAACGAACTTTCTACGCAGTACCTTTGGTCAGGTTATCTACCCTCGATCAGAGGTATTTCTCCTGTCTATGATGCTGCTGGACAAAGTTCGTGTGACGTAGTTGTGTGACACGGTGGTGCTGGACTAACGTTATTACATTAGCTCAGTTACGGAACAGCTCGCACACGCTGCATGCACGAGCATTACCCCCCCCCCCCCCCCCCCCCCACACACACACAAACACACTCACTCACCACGACTCGCCTCCCGTCGTTCTACGCGCCGGACGGCTGCTTTGGTAACTGCAGCATATTCTCTGGGTTACATATGTTTCGAAGCGCAGCGTCTAGATGGCGTTCCACCGTACTCTATGAAACACACCGTCCGTAAGCGGAATCCTCGACGGCGCTTTGAATGAAGGGAGGCGGACTGAAGTGAGTGAAAGGGGGTACCCCCTTCCTTGGGGGTTCCACAATTGAGGTAATCTAGCAACGTTGGACTGGACCAGCTTGCGACACTGTCGTATTTCGCTTTAGTCTGTTCTTTCGTCTGCCGCCTTTTCTTTTCAGCTCTTTCACAATGATCTGCAGGAACGTGTTGATAATCCAGTTGATGCCGCTTATTCTTTTCTCGCGTGCCCAGCTGCTTTCCTACACAAGCTACTTATGCGTTCTCTGGTGCGCCAACAATGGGAAGACAGATAAAAAGCCGGTCGTTACATTTTTCCGGATTTCACGCGACCTAACGTATGTAACTCGAAGAAAACGCTCAGTGAAGCTAAGAAGAATATCAATAAAGACATTTTTCCTTCAAAATCAACTCGGGAGCTTCAATTACCGGTATAGATTACGTATTACAGGCTACTAAGAACCGTTAGTTCTTCACCAGTTTAAGGCTTTTTCAGGCGCGAAGTAGAAGAGGCCAGATAGTGGACACCATAGTATGAAGGCTTTTGTGGAACACTTGTTTATTATTTGTGAACTTGACCTGGATTCGTTTTTATGGTCCACTCACACCTTAACAATTTTTATGCGAAATTGAGATGTTCGTAATAATTAAACATGGCTGTATATGCGATCAGGATACTGATGAGGCAAAGACCTTACACTTGCGCATGAACGACATTTGCGTAGAACGTATTGCACGATGCATTCGATTCGACTGTCGGATTCCTAATGTTCGAGTTTTCCAACAATTCGATACATCGATTATCAATACTGCTGGCAAACAATTCTGGTTTATCCAGCAACTCTGTTCATAATGAAATAGTCCTAGCAGGCCTGTGTTCAGGCACGTAGCCAGGATTTTGATTGGGGGGGGGGGGGGGGGGGGGGAGGGGCGTACATAACAAAATGCTCTATGAGGACGAGGGGGGGCTAGAGAAGGCCCCATCAAAATGGAAGATTTGGGGGGGGGGGGGGCGGGCCCCGTGCCCCCCCCCCCCCCTTCTCCCTCCGGCTACGTGCCTGCCTGGGTTAGATCTATATTAACCGCCATTATTGGGGGCTCTCTCGTCCGCTCAGTGGCTCAGACAGTGCTGGTTCGGCTTAACTCTCTCCGCTATTCTCGCGGATTGACTTCCTAGTCGTCATGCGGCTCATGCCTCGCCACTGCGCAGCTTTTAGGTTGCACAAATAGCAGCAAACATGCTCAAGTTCAAGATTGCATAGAATTCCAGCAGCCTTTTGAGAGTGGTTCACAGAAGCACCCGATGTCAAACACCTCGCCCTTTATGCCCCGCTTTCAAAAGCGCCCGTTTCAGAAGTCTATGACGCGAATCCCCCATGTCAGGTGGCCGGGACCTCAACATGATGGTGGGACATTCTGCTTTTACTAAAAGTAAGTGTGCACAAGAGTTTGTGTAACGTAATCATCCCGTACCCGGCACTCAAGTAAAAAATAACTAGATAAAGCTTTTCGTTCTTCAGGCGTGCGCTAAGAA